CCGACATGTACGCCAATGGTCCCTACGCGTTGCAGCAGCTTCACCCGCCGGCCAGCGCCCGCACGGGCTAGCACACTTTGTGGTTCCTCGGCCAATCCAAGTTCCAGAGCCCGTGCGCGGCGACGAAGAACAAGCGCGCCGACCGCAGCGTCCAGACCGGCGGGTACTGGTGGCTGGAGCATACCAAGGAGGAGCTTCCCGAAGAGCGAGGGCTTAAGAATAGCTTCAGGTTCTACTGCGTCCCGTCCCCATCCTAGAAGCGCAAGACGTCGTGGCTCATGTAGGAGTTCACCAGCGACAGGGATAGGGGCGCCGGCAGGAAGTGCGTGCCTGCGCTTTACAAGATATACGTCACGCCGCGCACCACTGACGAGGGCCTGAGGGGAGTCTACGGGGAGGACGGCGTGACGGCGGGCATCAAGAAGCCTGTCCCGGCAGACTATTTCACCGCTACCGCCACATTGATGCCCCCGGGGTGTGTCCGTGTTCTCCGGCAAGAGCAAGATGAGCTGACACAGGCATCGAATCTGCCGCCTTCGCTCCCCGCCTCTTCCTCATTATGGTGGCACGCGACGGCCAAAACTTCACGAAGGTATTTGAATGTGGTATGGATCAATGGCATAACCATGTGTCTTCTGTAGCATATTGCTTAGATGTGAGGGGCAGTAGCAGTAAGGGCCTTCGTTGCCTTACGTCCTCCCTTTCCTCTAGCCTCCTCGAGTCCATCGGCTGGAGTCTACATGACCAGCTTCCCCCCTTCGTGTGGATGAGGCAAGGAGATGAACAGATCCGGCAAGCGCTTGCAGAGAACGAGGCCAACATTGTCACTGCCAGCACAGTCCACGTCATCGTCTACCTCATCTTGTCTTTCTGCGGTACGGCAAAACAAATCACGTTCAGTTCATTTTTGTACCCATGCTTTTGTTCCAGTCATTTTTGGTTCCCAGGTTGATTCACTTTCCTATAGCTTCTACATTTGTATCATTTATTTCTGAAGTAATAGAGTAGGTTTGAGATTATGTTTTTCTAATGAATTTCAGTATATGAACGGGTTGTATAGTATCTGTAGTTAATACTGTCCACCCAAATTTACACTTTTCATTTGATAAATGGAAATAATTGTAGGGAATAGCAAAGCATAAGCTCAGATGATTTAGTTATTTAACTGGGTTTTCAGTTTTCTCATAGACATCTACAGATTTGGACCAACAAGACATGATGCTCGGCGGGTTATTTAACTATGGTGTTTCTTCTTCATTATCAATTTGTCAGCTCTGCTGCTGGGAGCCGCGGACCTCATTAGAAAGGAAATAACTTGTAGAGGGTGTATAAGGAGATGCCAATGGAAAAGAGATGAGTTGAGTTTGTGTTTGGAGATCTCAATGGAAAAGAAATGGAGAGTGTAGAGTGGTAAGAGGAGGAATCGAGCCAGTCCTGTTTTATTTTATTTTGAGCTTGGAGCCAGTCCTATATTTGTCACAAGACGTGATGGACATTTGCTTAATGCCCATCCCCAAAAGGAAAATAAAAATATTCGATTGATGCATTCAGTTTTTTTTATGGGGCTGAAATAGTCTTGTTAGGGTGCACGTCCATTATAATAGAGGTGGAATTTTAATATAATCACCACAAAGCTATATTATTATCCCGTGTAACTTTTCTCATTATATTTTGTATCCCGTAGCACCAACGGGTATTCACCTATAATAATATTAGAAAGTCAAGAATGTTGCCCTAAAGATATAGGTTAAACACATTCAGCATATACCCCGTTACAATGTCCGGGTAACTAAATCATGGGTACAAACTGATAAACATTTATATTCATATTCATATGGACAAGCAATAACAAACTAACATACTAGAATATTTATATCCCGTTGCAACCCACGGACATTGTCCTAGTTTCTAATAAAAAGGCAAATAGGAAGCGGGCAGAAAATAGGAGGACTAGAACATGTCAGTCAGCTAGGCTCAGCTCAGCTCAGCTGGCCAATGGCCCATATCCAGCAGGCCAGCATTTCAGAAGGCCTCTAGACGAGCTCTGGACCAATTTGTGCGAGAGCAGCTCCCCTGAATCATTCTCAGAAAAAAAAAAAAACTCCTCTGAAGACGGCGCACGCCCGGCCCCGCAGCCGTCGGCTCGCCGGTGAACTCGTCCACCGCCATTCGCCCGCCGTCCTCGCCGTGGCGGCACCTAGCTGCAGCACAACTTCCTTTCAACAGGTTGCTTTCGATTTCTCTCACTTCTTTCCGATCTATTTCAATCTCATTGGCTGAACAAGTGGTGTGCGGATTAGATTTTAGGAATGCAAGTTAGGGACTCTGTTAAGGCCAATGTCTGTCAGCAGACTAGCAAGATCTTTAAGCAGGTACGAGCTCAACTGCTTTAAGCCGAGCACTAGCAGGGGCGATTCCAATTCCTTTCAACAGCTTTATTTCAATGTTAACTCAATAAGTGATTCATTTTATGGATCGATTTTGTTTTGTTTTGTGGTAAACTTTTATAGATTGATTTTAAGGATGGTTGGTTGATTTTTTTCTCAGGTTGACGTTTCAGGTTTCAGTTATGGTTTTGTGGTCGTTTTCCCCTATTGTGGTTCATCCCATTTTGTCAAGTTGAGTTGATCTGCTTATTATCCTTGGCCCCGCAAGAAAATTACCTGCTCATTCTGCAGGGTGGTGATGGATCCCTAGTTCAAATGATGGACATACAGTTTGGTAGATTTGTTTAACTGTTCGTGATAAAAATTCAGTGGCTCCTCTTCTTTATAAACTTGAATGTGCAGTTCACCTACAGTACAATTTAGTATGCTGCCATAAAGACTGTTCAACATTGAGTTCCGATAAAGGGCGACTTTATTATCTCATGTTCAACATTGAGTTAACAAATGAGTTTTTATCTCCGCAGATAGGTTGGCCATTACAGGCTGAATTAGTTGACGGCCTATCTTTTGAATTAAGAGGTGTGAAATGATTTCAGGATCCTTTCGACACAAAGAAATTTCTGTACACTGAAAACTGTAGGACTTGGTCAGTGCATGCTAAGTCTCTCCTTGAATAGTACGCTATGCTCAGTATGTTTATCAATTTCAGGCTAGTTGCATACTCCACTAGATTCAGATAAATGAAGTGTTAGCAGCAAACAACCAAGAGTTGGTTCCAAGTCAACAGTCAAGTCTGTTTGATGTTGAAAAAAACATGTGATGATGCTTCAGCAACGACGACTCGACAGTTGGTTCTGGGTCAAGTCTGCCTGATAGAAAGAAATATGTGGTGATGGTCCATCAAAGATCAAAGAGTTGGTTCTCAGTCAGGTTCATCAAAGATCTGCATGGTGATGGCTCGTAAACAAATGACCCCAGAGATCAAGTCTGTGATAAAGCAACAAAAATGCAACCAGATACTCCCTCCGTTCCCAAATACTTGTCTTTCTAGGCATTTCAAATGGACTCAATATATGGATGTATGTAGACATATTTTAAAGTGTAGATTCACTCATTTTGCGCCGTATGTAGTCACTTATTGAAATCTCTAGAAAGACAAGTATTTAGGAACGGAGGGAGTACAAAGCATGACGTGCATGGAATGGATCCAATTTTAGTGAGTGGAGCACTGGCATTTTCTATGGTAAAACGTTTTACTATTGACCAGCAAGGTGGACTTTGTAACCAGCAGAGACGTCAACTTCCAAGCTCGGTGTTCATTCCTGAGGATGCAGATCGATCCCTTCTTTTTTGACCAGGAAGCATGACTTTGATAACCAGCAATAACTGAGAAGCATGACTTTAGCAATCGCCGGGGGAGGCAGGGGCAGAGCATAAAAAGAGTTTGTAGGGACATCAACTCTTCAACTTCCAAGCTCAGTGTTCATTCCCAAGGATACCAGTTCCCCTAAGCTCCAGTGCCCACAAATGGAGATTTTCATTTCTGCGTTGATGGGTGAACTGTCAAGGAGAATAGACCTATGTATCTTCAACGATTGGGTAGAGCTACTGAAGATGTTCTGGTTCATGGTATTAATCAGACATGCTGTTCTGAAGAGGAACTTCCCAACATAACGAACGTGGATGTTTGGTATGGAAATACTAGGCCCCAAGGTATATTTAAGGCTCTTGCATGGAAGTCTCGGATACCACCCTACCATTGCTACATCCAGACGTGTGAGATTCGAGAGCTGCAAGCTAGAGCGGTTAAGAGGAAGCGCCCTCTGATGAATGCTAGTATTAGACATGTTTAGTTTTGTCAATGTAAGTTTTCTGCCATGTTGTATAACTGAAAATAATAATGTATATGCTATGGAAACATACGTTTTCTTTATTATGCCCCTTGGCCAAGTTTGTCCAGAGTGTAGCAAAGTTGTGCCCCTTTAGTTTGAATAATACTACCCATACCAGTGCTTCTTGCTTGTCTTGATCAGTCATCAAGGTCAACATGCATGTGCGTAATCTTGTATTTGTATTGGTTTTCGCTATTATAAGAACTTTACACTAAACACAGAACACTAGTATGCCACCAGACTGTTTGGTGAATAAGCTCGTAGACGATGTATCTGCTTTTTATTTGCAATAAAACTAGCCATGATGGCCATCCCTCAAAAAAAGTATGCCACTATGACGCTCATGATTCCTTCATTTACTGTTTCTGAAACTAGTTTGACAACATAGTTCCGAGCTTCTGTGTAGCTATAATATCAGCGTGTGGTATTTTTCTTCCGCTGAAAAGATTAATTGTATGATCTAGTGGGTTTTTTTATCTTAATTTCTGGGTTCTCGTTATTAAATCTTGCTACTCTCACTCGGTAAGGTCACATTGCGATCAATTTGACAGTGTGCTCTGAAGAACCACAACTCATGGTTATACAGCGAAGTATGGCTTAGAATATGTATGTGATGATCATCGACCCAAGTTACCAATGACATGGCCTCGTTGCCTTTCATAAACTATAATGTAAAAATGGCTGTGTGCATCATAATGATTCTCAAGTCTCAACCTCTTAGTCATTCTGTGTCTGTTTTGATAAGGCCGCGGGGGTAAAACTCAAGGTGGATGGTGGCTTCTCTGCGAATGCCACAATCAGCCAGGGTCCATGGATCCTGCAGGCATTTGCCACCGTACACGAACCTACAATCAGCCATTAGCTTCCCCTTCATCTGGATCTTACTCCTCACGGCAGCAACCGTGTCGGAGCCTGTGAAGATCTTGACAAAGATCTGCATCTTCTCCACCGATGGTGAGCCTGTTCTTTTTTTTGAAGGTGGCAACAGTTGTGCTTCCTGCTGAAACCTCCCCTTGAACGCATCTGTCAGCGCAGTCTCTGAATTGATCGCCGCTCGCAGTAGCGCGACAGCCTGCAAGTGTTTGATCCACACAAGAAACTTAAAAAACCTAAAGCCATCGACTGCCATGACTCATTTCTAAGAAGAAGAAAAATGAGTGCCAAGGCTGTATATATAGAGATAACTTGCCTCTCGTTTGCTGACAGCAATGTCCATCTCCACTACATTATCCCGGTTTCTCTTGCACCAGTGCTTCAGCACCGACACGGCCGAAGCTTGATGTATACGCAACTCGTCGTCGACTACATAGGTGTGATCATCGACAAACACCGAATCGAACAACTGGCAAGACCTTTTATCCATTGCGCGGGAGTACTGCCGCTTCCCGGTCCGGCAGAGATGATACCACTCCACAATTGCCTGATCCGACCCATCTACGCCGTGGGTCTTCAACGGAGCAATACTAGGATCGAGCAGCGTGCTCTTGTCACCGAAGCAGGGTCCCGTCAGGAAGCCAGACGTGTTGAGACCATCGGCACTGCTGTAAAGATTGTTGAAGCCGTGGAACCGGTGAAAGGTGCCGGCCAGGTTCTTGAGGATGCATCCCATGGGGTAGGTCAGGAAGCTGAGGAGCAGGTCCACGAAGTCATGCTTGCACTCAGCGTACATGACCTTTCTGTCCTCCCTGTCGAAGAAAAGCTTGATGCTCATCTGCGGACCGGGGTCTCCGTTGGCCTCTTGACGCCGAGGTTTGGTAATCGTGAGCACTGATGTGTCCATCAAACAAGAATCGGTTCTTTTCGCGAGAAACACATCGGTGAATATGTTGGTGGACGAGACACATGCTCTGAGCAAGGAAACAACCTGAAACTTATGCAAATCAGTGCTGCAGATAGAAACAGTAGGATCATAGTACCACAGTATGGATTCAGGCCGGACGACCAAGGAAATGTAGTTCATTCACCTGGGTCCATCCGACGTCGACCTCCACTTCGTAGGCGTCATTGATCCTATCTCCGAGGAACCTCTGAAGAAAAGACAGGACGGTGCTCGTCGCCGCCGGCTTGATCACCAGATCGTCGCTGATCACGAACCTCTCTTTCCACTTGGAGAACACCTCTGTTTGTGTTGTTAGGTTGTACACATGCACAAGCCTAACCATGACATCCAAGCACCTGCAGCCGTGCTGCTGGTTGTGCCCCTGTGGAATCAGATGCGTTTCCATGAACGGAGTGCACCGTGGGCATGGCAAGCGATCGTACCTGCGATCGAGCATATAGAAATTCCTCATGGGTATAACCAACACATTGGCAGCAAGAGTGAGAAGAATCATCTTGCGATCTGATCAAATTCTGTGGGGTAGGTACTAGGTAGGAATAGGATACAGACCCAAATTCATCGGCGTGCGTAGGCCTGAGAAGCGTGCCATGGCAGGCCTCGCCCTTCAACAGTTTAGCGTCCCCCAGGTGCCGGACGCTGGCGCAGAGGCTTGTCAGGCAGCCCGGCGAGGACGCGCCTGCGGCGAGCTGGACGGCGGAGATCGGGAGCGTGAGGAAGGCGAGGAGGACGTCCACGAAGTCGGAGCCGGCGTCCGCGAAGAGCACGCGGTTAGACGACCTGTCCACGACGAGCTTGATCTTGATGGCGGCCATAGCCGACTGAGGTTTGGGTTGGGTAGGAGCGAGCGATGACACGTACGGCGACCTTGCGCAGATTTATGCTGAGGAAGGCCGAGATAGACAGGAACACGGGACGGGCCTCGAGGGTTTGCAAAAGGGAGCAGCTCTGTTTTTTTTTTTTTTTTTGAGGGAGCGGCGCTGCTACACCCCGCTTTTAGCGAGGGGGAAGCAGGCGCCATGAGTGCGGCCCATTCGTACTTTCTTTCTTTCTTTTACCGACTTGTGTTCACATATTAAAAAAATATTAGGTATCCGATTTAAAAATTGCTAATTGAGAAGAGTTCACGCCTTCAGAAAATATTCATCTGACATTAAGAACTGTTCACAGAGTTTCAAAAAAAATTATTCAGATAACTATAAGGATCATATTTTAAAAAATGTATGTATATTAGAAAATGTTCACGTATTGTTTTTAAAAACATGTGTAATTAAGAAAGGTATTCATCTAACTAAAATATTAGTGTAGTTACAAAGAGGTTTTATGCCTTTGAAAATGTTCCTATGATTTAAAGAAGTGTTGATATATTTTTAAAAAGTACATTCACCTATTTAAAAAATATTCTTGTGATTTTAAAAAGTGTTCGCGTCTTTTTGAAAGGGTCTGTGTAGTTTTAAACAGTTTTCATGTGTTTTAAAAAAATGTGTTTGTAAAAGTTATTTATATTTATTTTAAACAAAAAGAAAAGGTGAACATAAAAAGAAGAAAAAAGAACGAAAATCTCAAAAGCTAGAAATTGAAATCTAAATAATCAAAAGGATTAAAGTAAACCAAAAATATAAACATGAGAAATCGTCGAGCCACCTCCACTAATGGGTTACATGTAACACTCCCTTGCTCAATCTAATTCGCCATAGCTGATACAATGGAGTTTTCTGGGGTTCGAGAGAGAGAATTGGGGATCTGGGAGAAGAAGCAGGGGAAAAGCACAGATGTGGGGGAGAAAGTGTTTCTGCCTATTACATTCTCGATGCCTGCCCCGTCGGCTCACCGCACTTTTAACCATCACAGCTCCCAATTAGCAGGGTCAAAATACTTGTTGGGCTTCGTCTTCCTCTTGGGCCTGGCCTCATCCGGTTTGGGCCCTTGCTGGGCGTCGTTGGGTTCCCTAGGCATGACATTCCCCTCCGCTTCAGTCGCGGCTTGCCCCCAAGCCGCAGCTCCCGGAAAGCGACTGCGAATCTCGAAGAAGTCCTCCCACGATGCCAATTCCTTGGGTTGTGACGACCACTTGACCAGCACCTGTGGGATCTTGCCCGCACCCCGCATGACCATGCGCTTTGCCAGCACCTCTTCAGGGAAATCAGGAGGAGAGTGGGGTGTCGGGGGTTCTGGTAGCGCCGTAATCGCCTCTGTGTCCTTGGGCAGCGCTGCTCTCAACAGGGACACGTGGAACACCGGGTGTACCCTGCTGTATGCAGGCAGCTGCAGCTTGTAAGACACCTTGGCGATGCAAGCCAATACCTGAAACGGACCAAAGAATCTGAAAGAAAATTTGTGATTAGCCCGAGGCGCAACCGAAACTTGGACATACGGTTGCAGCTTCACAAAAAGCCAATCCCCTACTGCAAAAGACCTCTCTGATCTTTTCCTGTCAGCCTGATCCTTCATTCGCTGTTTCGACCGCTCCAGATGTTGTTTCACCAGGGCAATCATCACTTCACGTTCGTGCAACCAGGTCGAGAGATCAGCTGGTGCCGAAGCTGATGCATCCACAATGCCAAAATGCCGCGGAGGGTGACCATACATCACCTCAAAAGGGGAAGCTTTGAGAGCAGAGTGAGCTGAGGTGTTGTACCAAAATTCAGCCAAATGCCGCCACTACATCCACTTGTGAGGGCAGGAGTGGACAAAACATCTGAGATATGTCTTCATGTATTGGTTCACTCTTTCGGTAGTGCCATCCATCTGTGGATGGTAGGCTGATGACATTCGGAGCTCGGTTCCTGCCTGCTTAAATAGCTCTCGCCACAACGTGCTAGTGAACACTTTGTCTCTATCTGAGACGATGGCATACGGCAGCCCATGATGCTTGTATATTTGTTGCATGAAGACATTTGCCACTTGAATTGCAGAGAAGGGATGCGCCAAAGGGATGAAATGCGCGTACCTCGTTAACTTGTCCACCACAACCATGATGCAAGAATAACCACGAGAGATAGGCAACCCCTCGACGAAGTCCATCGTCACAGTGTGCCATGCATGTGGGGGCGTGCGTAGGGGTTCAAGTAAACCAGGGTGCGGACCCTTCCAGTTTTTGCTTGTTTGCAGATGTTACACGCAGAGACAAACTGCATCACTTCTTTGTCGCATATCCGGCCATGCAAACAGTCGACGAAGCCGGGCATATGTTGCTTGAACACCCGAGTGGCCACCCGTCGCACTGGAATGAGTTGTGTGCAGAATCTGTTGTTTCATGTCTGCATTAGAGCCGACCCAGACACGTCCTTTGTACAAGATGACTCCATCGCGGACCATGTACTTGGAGTCTGTCTCCACATTATCCTGACACTGTTGTATGATGTTCTTTGCTGCCTCGTCATGTTGGTACCCTTTAACCACATCAGCCAGCCAAGATGGTACGGCCATTGAGATAGCTGACAATTCTGCATCCATGCACGATACAGCATCCGCCGCCTTGTTTTCAATCCCTTTTTTGTACACAATCCGGTACTGCATCCCCATAAGTTTGGTATAAGCCTTGCGTTGCCAGGATGTGACCAACCTCTGATCTCCTAAATGAGCGAGGCTACTGTGATCCGTTCGAATGACAAACTCTCCTCCTTGTAGATACGACCGCCAACGATCCACAACCAAAAGAATCGCCATGAATTCCTTTTCATATGTGGATAGGCCTCGGTTTTTTGGACCCAAGGCCTTACTAAGGAAAGCGAGCGGGTGCCCACCCTGCATGAGGACAGCCCCAACCCCAAACTCAGAGGCGTCAATTTCAATTTCAAACGGTTTGTCGAACTGAGGCAAAGTGAGCACCGGTGCGGATATCAATGCAGATTTCAAATGTTGAAATGCCGCCTCGGCCTCCTGGCTCCAAACAAAGATCGAATCCTTTTTGAGAAGGTTCGTCAAAGGACGGCTGATGAGAGCAAAATCACGCACGAACCGTCGATAGTACCCGCCAACCCCAAGAAACCTCTGACTTGTCTGACATTGCTGGGCGTAGGACAATTCTTAACAGCGGAGATGTTTTTCTCGTCGGTGGCTACCCCTTGTGCACTGATGACATGCCCTAGATAGGTCAATTCCTGTTGAGCAAACTTGCACTTGGACCGCTTGACCTTCAAGTGGTGATCTTGTAACAGTTTGAACACTTGCTGTAGGAGACGAACATGAGCTTGTAAGGTGTGGCTGTGGACCAGGATGTCGTCCACAAACACCAACACTCCCTTGCGAAGCAGTGGCGACAACACGAAGTTCATCACTCCCTGGAACGTTTCGGACGCATAGGCAAGCCCATATGGCATGACTTTGAATTCATAATGTCCGAGGTGTGTTTTGAAAGCTGTTTTGAACACATCCTCAGGCGCCATCCGGATCTGATGATAGCCCGCCTTCAGGTCCAAACTGGTAAACCACACTGATCCAGCTAGCTCATCCAACAACTCTTCGACCACCGACATTGGAAATATGTTCTTGACCGTAATGGCATTGAGATGTTTGTAGTCAACACAAAATCGTCATGACAGATCTTTCTTCTGAACTAAGAGAACTGGTGATGCATATGGGCTGTAACTCTGTTGTATGATCCCTTGATGTAACATCTCTTTAACTTGTTTCTCAATCCCGTCCTTCTGGAAAGGGTTATACTGGTATGGTCTGATGTTGACAGGCTGGGCTCCTGGGATCAAAGGAATTTTGTGATCAAACGGACGTGCTGGAGGTAAGCCTGTAGGGTCTTGAAACAATGACTCAAATTGCACCAGTAGCTCAGCAATTTTTGGTGGAATTTCAGGTTCACTATCGCCGTCTAGTTGACCAGGCACCATCTGCACTTGCACTAATTGGTGTATGTCATTGTGATCCATAAGAGAATGCAATTGCTCCGCCGAAACCGGGTGACATTCATCCATCTTGGGTTGTACTCCCGGCAGCATGACACGCTTGCCATGGTGGTCAAAAGACATATGTTTGAGCCCCCAATGAACATCCATGGGACTGTGCTCTTCTAGCCAGTCCATACCGATAATCATATCGTAACACCCCAGAGGAAGAACCTTCAAATCGGTGCAAAACTTATGCCCTTGAACTGACCAACTACATCTTGTAATTTCCTAATTACACAACAGTTGTCCCCCATTGGCTATCTTGACTTTCAACTCTTTAGGTGAGTGTCTGACCCCTTGCAACTTTGCTGCCAACATTGAGCTGATAAAACTGTGCGAACTGCCAGAATCTACTAACATGAGGACCTACTGAGACTGAATCCTCCCCTGCATCCGAATGGTCTGAGGAGCAACTGACCCTTCAAGAGCCGCCTTGGAAATAGTATGACACTCACTGGATGTATCAGACGGTGCCTCCGTACTGTCC